TTTTATGCATCCATCTTATTTCTTAGCTCCTTAAGTGGTTAAATGTTTTATTTATTTGCCAAGTGAGCATACAGACTTGGTTTATATTTCATGTGCTGTGCACTCTCTGTGTGCTGTAGGTTCGGATGCTGCAGTTGTGCACCTCCCAGTCTGTATCCCTTCCTCCATGCTATAGCACTGTATCTATGCAGATGGGTGTTAGCCTTTGGACAGCTGATATTTTCCTCATTAGTCTGCCACACAGCTCTTAGTTACTCTTAAGATGCATTTTTTCCAGCTGCACTGTGATTTGAGTGCACATTCTCAAAACCTTCCTAGGATCATTCTTATCTATGCCAGGAATGACCCAAAGAAAAGCTTCCTTCCAAAGAAATCTTCCTTGATTTCAATAACCTGTTTGCAGAGCAAGCACTTTTCTGTGTGCAGGTGCTTATGGCATCAAGGCCTTGCTGGTGTCTTCCAGGTTCATCCAATATCAGTCTGAGTGAATTACAGCTCTGTGCAGTCACTGGGCAGGGAAGGCAGTGTGACCTGGCAGAGCAGAACCTCATGGGCAATAATTAGTCTCAGCATCCGTAAATTATGTTGCAAACCACAACCGAAAGGTGGTAAAGAAGCACCTCTACTGGGATTATTAATGCATAAAATGAAAATTTGAATGTTAAATAACTACACAAAACCCAAAGACAGCTGCTAAAGGCATTCTGGAAAGACAATAAATCAGTTGCCTCTAGGTTGGAACTGAGAGTGGAAGCACTGGAAATGCATCTATCACTGAGATAGCTGAAGTAAGCTTATTTTCTTGCTTTGGAAAGAGAAGCTTTGATCACATCTGCCACTGAAGCACCAATTAAAAAAAAAAAAAAAAGAGTTAAAAGCCAAAATAAAGTTTAAAAAAAGAATGGAGGATTATGGCTCTGAAAACTTGTTTCTAATGCTGATTTTCTTTCTCTGTTAGTAAAACATTTTAATGAAAGTAACTCAAGGCTCCCAAGATTTTGAATTTGTAAGTTGTTTCCATCCTTTTCTTCTTCCTTACCTGTCGACCTCATTTCATCTGCTCTTTTAGAGTGATATTTCTTTAATCAGTGAGTAGTAACTAACATTGGGGAACTGGAACTACTCAGACTTCATTATGTTGTGCTGTAAATCAGGTCAAAACAGCACCTGGATACAGAGGAAAATTCTGCTTGCCAGGTGGGTGTTTACCCTGATGTTTTAATTTAGGTCAGCAGTGAGCTTTTAAGGTAATCTCTCATTCAATGCACTGTGGTTCTGGAAGTGTGTAAAGTGGATTTTTGTAGCATGAAACTAACTCAGGAGAGATACACCAGGGGTGCACCTAATCTCTCTGCTAATGGACACCTAGCCTGCTCACAGCAAGGAAGGGTTAGCCTGAAGTAACTGGCCCAAAATTCTGCCATGCTGTGCTGATCTGCTTCTACAGTGCCCATGGAGCTGTCATTCCTTGACTGGATGCTCTGTCTTTTAGTTTCCACCTGATAAAGAAGATGTTAAGACTGTGGGATGTGCTGTGAACCTGTGAGCTTTTCTGGCATTTCAGCTCTGTCCAAAATGGGAACATGAGGGCTTGAGGATGGAGAAGAGGAAGAGGAATATCCTGTGTTTGTTCCTCACTCCATTGGCTCTGGGGAAGTCCAAAGCATCATAAAATAGAGTCAAAAAAGGCCTGCTGTGAGGAGTATATGACTGTACTTATTTCTTCACTTTGAAGTAGGGAGAAGTGATTTATGAGCTGACTGTGGAAGTAGACACAGACATAAAGACAGACATAAAGAAAACATCCTGACTCTGCTGCTTCTTTAAGGGAGATGGGAGCTGGGAGTGAATGCTTGGAAAGGTCCTACAAAGTGATATTTGGTTCTGAAGCTATTCTTTAAACTCTTCTATGTTTTTGCCATGGCTCTGCACAATAAACACTGCATGCAGAGTGAAAGATACGTTGGTGGGCTACTAGCAAATTAAGAGCTCAGTTTTGGTTTTAACTGCTGCTTCTAGATATCAACCACCTACAGTGGAGCATGGAATAGCACTTGCATCTGTGAGAGGTTTGTGGTAACAGTGCTAAACTAGGAGATGAGAATCTTTGCTGCATCCTCCATCCAGCCAATGTGATTCCAGTAGGGCTTCTTCTGAGAATGGGGAAGATTCAGCTATAGGTGAGAATTTGGTGAGAAGCATGGAGAAATTGGGCTGGTTGCTGATATGACTTGGTGTAACTAGGCAGCATCACTTCTGCTGGAGCTGGAGCCCCTGTGTCTGTATGGACAAGTATCAAGTACTTGAGTTTTGGCTGTGTCTTTTGTTTTATCAGTCTCAGATGATAATAATGACAGGTATTAGGAATGTTCTGCTGAACATTGCCTTGAATTCAGGCCAGTATAACATTCTGGCTAATGTGTTAAGTGTTACATCTCTTATCAGATTGTCAGACCTCCTAAAGCAAGCACATATCTTCGGCTTGTGAATATGTGTGAATCCCAGATAATGCTACAAGAGAAAAAACGTAAGAGAATCCATCTTAAATGACATCTCATTTCTGCCTTTCACTTAGTTAAAGCCAATAATAGGCTGAATAGGGAGCAGATGTAAGGTCAGATATGCTGTGTTAGCACTTACGACGCTTATTCAGCGATAGCAGCGCGTGAATATTTGAAAGCTCTTCTCAGCAATACCCGTGCAGGTTAGCTGCTATCACATCCTGACATCATATCTTTGAAACAGACCTGGAAGGGGAACTGAGTTTCTGTCCTTGAAGACTTCAGAATTTCAGGTTTTCAGTACTGATGTGCACTTGGCACTGAGGAGTTTAGAATTTTTATGTGGGGGAAGAAAGATAGAGGGAAAAAAAACCCAACAAACTAATTTCTCAAAGATTTAGAACTTCTTCCATTTCTGTCTCAGAAGTCAAATAGCAAAGACATGTTGCATTAATCTCACATCTTCTTCAGCATACCATCCTTGCAACATGCCCTTTGTGCAGCATGGCTTTGAGCCCTTTAGGGAATCATTGCACTGCTACAGCAACAATTCAAAATACAAATCTATGCCTAATAACAGTAACTGCTGGTATATATCTCGCATGATGTGTTTCCGTGCTGTAAATACAGGCTGGAAGACACCAGTTGCAGAGAGAAGGGAGTAAAATTTTTGTTGAGAACTCATTTTTTTGGTGCTTACTTTAACAAAGGGTTCAGCAAACACTGAGGAAGGGAAATTGCCTTTTCTTTTAAGATTGAATAAGTCAGCATTTGTTTAAGCAATATATTCTTCTACCTGTAAAACTCTGTGCTCTTCAGTCTGGGTGAACAGGAAATGTAGGTTTTTGCACTCCAGGACTTACTGCTCCAATGTCTACTTACTTCCAGTACACAAGCACACGTCTGCATCCCCAATGGTGAATTCCAGTGCTCTTTTTAAAGACACTTAATTGAATCTGTTTAGAGGTGCTGGAGAAACATCCTGAAATTCTGAATACGCTGAGTTCATGTTGCTCTGCCAGCCCTGTGTCTGTACATTAAGGCTGTGTGAATGAGGACACGGCTCTGAGTTTATCCTCAAGATTTTCATTTCTATTTGCTTGCTTCTGAGTAGTTCTTCCATTTTCAGTTCAAGCCTTGAAGGGGAGGGTGCTATTTGTTAAGTTTAGCAGTGGCTGTGTAAGCTTTCTTTTTACTTAGCTGTGTTATTTCTTTCTTACGACTGTTGTGACTGCCTGCCATCTGGGGGCTTCTGGGCCTGCTTCAATAAATTGTGCTCTCTTTTCCTGTTGCTCTGAGGGTTTGCAGAAGGATAGGAAACTGGACACGTCGTGCAGTGGGCTGCAAGCTGTGGAAGGCACATAAGGCATGTATTCCTGGTTTTTGCTTATGTAAATTGTTGTAGTAAGTCGCCACAAACGACAGCCAAGGAGAAAATCAGCGGCAAAGCAACTTTTATTTGACAAGTTGCTGCTAACTCCCTTTGTGCTGTGATTCTAGTGGAACGTCACTGCTGGCCTTAATGAATGTGTGCGTGCCCTTGGGTGGCTCAGCATGCTGTCAGGATGCACCCTTGCAGCAGTCCCTACCAAAAATGCCACCTGCTGGAGGTGCAGCCATCAGAAGCTGCTCTGGAGAGGAGATCTCAGGAGACCATTTGCTATGGCCGTATGCTTCTAGAAAATTCTTGCAGCAGAGTTCTTACTCTTAACAATGAGCTCTTCCCACTTACACGTTGTATCTGTGTGGTGTTTTTGTGGGAGGTTTTTTGGTAATTTTTATTTACACTGTTCTTGGGAGCCCTTATTTATAAGTCTGTGTGAAACCACAGTACTGTGTATATCGGTTTTTGTGCACAAGAGACCTTGAAGTGACTCAAACCAGCAGCCTTCTGCGGTTCCAGCATCTGTATTTATGAGCTAGGGGATGCGTTTGGTGCAGCATTTCATTTTACTTTGCTTTTTTGTTTTATATACTCATTTTCACTCGGCATATTACTCATTCCTCCCTTCCTGTAAATACACCAGAGCTGGAGATTGCCTCAGTCCAATTTTTACTTTCTCTGCTCTTTCTCCCTGACTGATGGACGTGCTGGAGTCCTTTTGTGGCCTTAGTCACCTTTGGTTTAACTGGCACACTGCAGTTCTGCCAGTTCTTGCTTTCCGAATGATCGTGTTTAATAATAGTAGTTTTGAAATTCAACATCATCAACTTTGACTGTTCTCTTGACCTCCTTATTTTCCTGGGAGGTTATTGGGATAGATATGTGATGGGAGAATACATTAAAAAAAAATGCTGCAGTGTTCATTACTCTTCCTGTGAACCTTCATTTATAAATGCTGGTTAATGATAACGTAGCTGCTGTCCAATGTGTTCTCAGTTAGCATATGTCATGCATGGAAAATAGATGTGCTTTGCCTGCTTCGCTGCAAAATAACTCACTATTTGCTTTCCATTAGAGCAGTGAGAAAGGTACTGTTCCGTCCTTTAATGTAATAACTCATTTATTATGCAGGTGGATTAGATCAAGTGGTTGGATTAAAGAATTCCCTATGCAAGAAGAACTAATCATGCTAGGTGTGTAAGTAGCATTTGCTTTCGTATTTAATGAGCTTTTCCAAGAGTTGTTCTCTTCGTGGCCTTTTTCTAATAAGAAATGTAGGTGTTCCAGGCATTCTCCTGGTGTTCTTGCAACCTCCCTGACTTGGTGCCAATGCCTTCTTGGAGAGCTAGAATTAATCAGTATCTGCAGGCTCATAGGAATGATAAGCACTAGAACCAGGTCACTTGAGAAGTACTTATCCGTAATGGGAATTATTAACCAGACTGTAGCAAGTGCTTTAAATACGATAGGGTCAGAGCCAGGTATGAAGAGTTTTCTGATAGGTTTCGTGTTTCTGTTTGGAGCAGTTACTCACCCAGTTGAGCGCATTATATCTGGAAAAGTTAGACCTTGGATGAAGATTCTCTATATAAAATACACTGGGAAATCTTGTCAGGAGCCCCAGGATCCTGTGGCCACACACTAACATTTTTTGTCCAAAAACTGGGATAGTTGCTGCTCAGTGACAGGGAAGTTACCAGCTTTCAGAATTTTGTCCTTAGTGAAAAATTATTTTCCATCTGTCTGTTCGAGTCTCCACGTATCACTTTCTCACATGCACCCAATCTTTGCAGGTGAGAAGCAATGGGACTGTAATCCTTTTGCTCTTTGTGCATTCATGCTTGGAGATGATCTCAGTACAATCAGATTTCCCTGTGCATTGTAGGGCAGTCTGTATAGTAATTGTTCACAACTCCAAAGGCAACTGCTGCAAGTCTATTTTAAAATCTAGTCCATGTTGAGTGGAGTCCTTGGGGGTAAAAGAGCTTTATACATGCAAAATATTCATTTTTCTTCTAAGTGGGGTAAAGTTGTTTCCATCTCAAGAGATGAAAAACCTGGGAGTTTTCATGGATTTGAGCCCATCTTTAATGATCATATCAGCAGAGTTGCCAGGCTGACATTTGATTATCTCGGAACAGTGTAGTGCTGCATTACCACCTCTCCCAAATGGATGTTGGATTGCTTATCCATGCCTTTTGCAATGCCCTGGTTGAATTAATCAACTATCCCTGGAGTGCTTCCAACAGAGAGAATTCACTGGTAACAGCTGATCTAAAAGTTCCCCTTCCAGGACTTTAGCTCAGCCTTTGTACACTGTATTTGTCCTGGGGTGTGTTGTGCTGACTGCATGATAGCAGAAAGCTGCTGCTTGCTTTGCAGTGCATGGGTTAATGCAGTCATTTTTCATCTCTAAAAACAAAAGGTCTAAACTGGTGTAGGGTCACGAATAAAGTGAGTTCAGTGGCCCTGACCTCATCTCTAGCAGATATTTGTCTGCAATATAAACCGACCACATGGGTTCATCATGATGGGCAGTCATTTTTTATGTGAAATCCAGGGAATGGCTACCTGGGGGTGCTAAAGGCCACAGCTGGGGTGAATTAGCAGAGTTATGTCAAAAGCTAAATTACTTGGCATACCTCAGCTAGTTCTACTTCGTTACAATACGTGTTAAGTGGTCACCAGCCTATTCAAGGGACATGCTGCACAAAAAATGTCATTGGTACATGTTGTTGAAGTATTGGCATTTCAGTGCACCTGTAGGATGCAGCCCATTGCTGCTGTGCTGATTTTTATGAAGTTTAGGCAGAACTTCTACCACTAAATTGTTCATATTCTCTTGTCTGTAAGTCTCAGCTTTAGAAGTCAGTGTTGTCTGTTCGCTGATGTTGCAGAAGGTCTTCACATCGCTGTGGATAGGTTGAACTCTTCCTGCATTTGGATGTCTTTCCCAATTATTACTACTATGCTGAACTGTGTAGCTCTGCTTATGACTAATATGACCTGATTGCAGGGCACTTGCTAGGAAAACCTTCATTGCTTTTGGAAAGAGCACACCTGAAAACAAGCTTTTCATCCGTACATGTCCCACGTCAAGAGGCCTAGGATTTGATCCAGCTTCGAACTTCATGGGTAATGCTCCTGTCTGATTTCTCATTTGTGTCTCTGCCATTTCCATTGGCAGAGCATCAGATCTGAAAGAGCCTCTGACCCAATAAATGCATGTATTATTTAAGATGTGAGTTAATTTTCTTTGGGCATTATAACAGATTTAAACATGATACCAGCAGAGAGGAATTTCTTTCAAGTATCTTTCAGACATTTTAAATATATTTGCATTATGGTCAATTAAAAAGAGCCGAAACAATGCTAATTGTGGATTTCTTATTACTAATGCTTTTAAAATTCCCAGATTTGTGCTTCATGCTTCAGGGTATAAACCCACCTCTAACTAATGAGAGCTAAGAAGAAGCTTCCCTGTGGGCAGATTATCCCATAAGTGCCGTATGGCTGCTGGCTTGTCTCCTCAACTAAGGAAGGGCTAACATCTTGCCAAAGTTGCTTCCAACCTCTTCCCTTAAGGCACTGTTTATTAATTCAGACAAAAGCCTCTGAGAGTAATGCGATACAAAGCTGTTCCCTGAACAGAACAGACTTTGCTCTCTGCCCTCTTTATCTCTCAGCTACAGGGCTAGTTATGGAGGAAATCTCCTTCCTGCATGTTCATTTCACTCTCTCTGGGTTGTGTTTGAACATCAACCATTCCCTTTCCAGATGGATGACAGAGCTGCATGCGTTGGTCTTGGCTAAAGCAGGCAGGATCTTTCACAGTCAGACCCTCAGTCTGGGCTACACACCAGCCTTAACATTTCCTTTGTTTCTTTTTTAATTGTCAGTTGCAATATTGAAATGAACTGTGACAGTGAAGCACAAAAATGTTCAGAGCCACTTCTACAAAACTGGGGAGATGTGGTTGCCTACCATCGCCTATGGCTGTGACAACAGTGGTTGTGCAATCCGATGCCCTGTCTCATCAGAATAGCCTGACTATGGATCCTGCCTCTGAAACATGAGGTGATTCCAGAAAAGTGAGTTGAGATGGTGTGGGAAAATCTCTGGTTGTGTTCAGCTGCCAAGATTAGGAGGAGCAGGCAGCAGATCTGGAGCCTCAACTCAGTGTTCTGGTCCAGCAATCAGTGTGAAATGTGTGCAGTGAGACAAGTTGGGAAGAGTGCCTCTTCACACCCAGAGGTCCACACAATGTCTAGACATCCATTTTCATACCGTGTTTTTTTCAAGAATTGTTTGATATGAAGCTTGTCTCCAACTAAGTATTACATTCATAACAGGCACTCGTGTCTGAAATTATCAAGAAAAAGAAGTGTATTGCATTTTAAACTAATTACATAAATCATCTGAATTATTTATCAGGGCTGCTTCACATCTCTGTTGTGGAAGACCTTTACAGACTGCATGTGATTTAGTATTAACACAACTGAGATGCAGACAGGGCATTAAGTGCTTCTCCTAACTATATTTTATTTTGGAAAAAGTAAAGAAGTCAGTAATTGACTCTTTGATAGTCCCACAACTGTTGGTTTTTAACTTTCAAAGCATGTTTTGAGTGCTATTCACCAGTTCTTGAGTCTAAGTAGCTACCACAGGGACTGGTATCTGAGCCCTTTCTCCCTGCTGGGGGCTGGAAAATCCCTGAAAGGGCACTACCTACAGACACATAGGTGTAGTTTTGCTAACAGTGCTTGCATTAGGAGAAGCCGCTGCGAAAGCACTTCATTTTAAATGAACACAGTTTTACTTGGAAAACAGCAAGGCATCCTTCAGGAGATGGTGGTGGTCCTGAGAATATGGAGAAAGCTTGGAAAAATAAAAGTGTACACTTCTTAACACAACTGGTGTGATTTGTGAAAGGATCCACCCATGCTCTAGCATCTCCCAGTTTTCTTTTTTTTCTCTTATATTTATATATTTCCCTCTTGTTTGGAAGCCTTTGTCTCTATTATATTGCCTACACCAAGAAATGAGGAGTTTTACCTTACTAATGCTTTCACTGTATGCTTTGTCCTTAGGATAAAGTAAGGGAAGATCAAGAGCAGCTGTCTGAACAAGCAGAACAGTTTGGGAGCATCTGAAGTGGCCTTCTGCTTCTAGGACCACTGAGCTTCTTTGAGGTTTTGGAAGCCAAACAGAACTGAATTTTGGAACTCCCCTTATCTTTACAATAAGCTAAATCAGAACCCTGGATCTTAATTAACGTTTCTTCATTTAGAATTATTTTTGTGAACACAATAGAGCTGATTATTACCGAGAGCCTCTTCAAAGAAGTTAAATTAATCTGATAAATCAATGTGGCCAATGCAGATAAGTCTTGTGGAGCATTTTCAAGCAGTACCAGGATCTGTCAAAAAGAGTAATGAATATCAGATTTCCAAATGTACACATTTTGGAGGAAGGAATAAGATAAATGACACGCATTAACTTCAATAACTTGCGTGCGGTAACGTGAAGATGCAAATGGGAAAATTAAACTGGGTCAGCAGATGCAAACTTGAAGACAATAATAAAGGATGCTGAGATTGTTCTGAATGAAGATGGCAAAGAGCGGGAAATGATGTATGGGAGTAACGGCATGACATTTGTGTTCCTTCAGATGAATCCAACTCAATAATAATAGTAATCCTGCTGTGAACTAAATTTCACTCCCTGTCACATCCAAGTAAGGAGCAGCACACCGAAGATATCTTGGTGGTAAACTCATTGTAAAACTGAAGACGTACAAAGGGCTTCAGGCTGTGGCTACTGCAGAAGATGGCAAAATGAGCCAGGGGCCAGCCCTGTGGTTCCAGCAAACAGTGGGGAGGACTGAGGAAACGTTCTTGCTGCTCTGGGAGAAAATCCTTGTGTAAGAACATCTTATCGCAGTGCCATGCGTCACATGATCAGTGTCTTGGGATACCACGATGCACAATTGGAAACATCAGATAGAGTAGATATTTTCATCAGAAGTGCAAGTGATCAATTTCTACTGATAAAAAAGGCATTCATTTCTTCAGATAGAGAAGCAAATAGAAGAGTGTTACATATAGAGAAGCATAAAAAGTGAAACGTCTAGCCTGAAATCAAGAGGAAGAAAGAGGATATACCTGCAGTAAAGATAAAAGGAAATGGCACAGTATTGGAGGAGAGTTAGCATTATACTCCCAACAGGCTCTGACTTGGAGGTCTCGTCTCCTGGTGTCAAAGGCCAGGCTTGGCCGGCCTTTTCAATATTCTCATAAGCCTTTCTGACATTAAAGGATGGGAGATAGGCTGGAAAGCACTTAACAAATTAATATGGGATGCATATGCCCACACCCAGTGCTAGTCCTTTGGCTTGCTTCTGGGTTACTGCTCTGTTGTACCACACTGATGTTGCTGCCCGTGGCTGACTCTTCTAAGGGCTGCAGGAGGAGTGGTTATGTCATTTATGTATGTACATGTAGATTCAAAGGTTTGCTTAATTTCTATTTTTAATTGTAGTTTTCATGTTCTCTTCGAGTTTCTAGCAGTTTAAGCATAGAGTATCAGGAATCTCATGAGTTTTATTCTCAAGACTTCTGATCTAAAGCATTTGCACATCAGATTTACATCCAGCGTAAACCTTTTGAAAATCAACCCTCGTTGTTCCTTAATGATCAGAGTATGAATTCCTAGTAGGCAAGTGATGAGTTCCATGTGTGTGCCTACCAGGTTTTTTTCTTTAAATATTCCTGTGATTTAGGATGATCTCTGTTAAAGAGTCACAGGCAAACCTGCAGAAGTGTTGCATGGAGCAATTCTCAGCCTTGGAGCCGGAGGAGAAAAGCTGCATCCTCTGAAAGACGTGTTGTTCTTTCTGCCTTTGGAGTTAGGGGACAAGGTATGAGAACTGGTAACTTGTTTACAAGTTTTTCTTCTCTTTCAACTCTTCCAGCTGTTTATGTCACCTCTTTCATAGGTGGTACTGAGACAGAGTTGCCAGCTAGAGCTGAAAGATGAAATAGAGCAGATGAAGGGTGTGTGTGTGGAAGGAGGGGGGGGGTGGAAAGGTTCTCTTTTTTCAGTTCTGTACGGTGACATAAAAAGTGGGTTACAATTCAAAATATTGAATCGTGGTTCTCGAGGCAGTTTTATGCTTAAATCATAGTCTTGTCAAGTCCGTGTTTGATGTGCTTTAATTAACGCTTCCCCTTACTTTGTTTTTGATTTTGATGTGTATGCAATGGATTCACACAACCTGAAGTGATCAAAAAGAGGCATTTGTCAGTGTCAGAGCCTGTGCTGAGGTCTCGGTTGGCTCTATGCACACCCTGAATGAGGAAGGTGGGGATGGGTTATTAGAGGAATACAGGTCAGCCTTTAAGAAATCACCTACAGTAAATGAAGCTAATGCAGTTTTCATTAGGCTGTTTGCAGTACCAGCATCAAAGGCATTTGGGAAGTTAAGTCAAGCTGTGTATGACATCCCCATAATGCAACAAGGGGGTTGCTCACAGCCTGTGGGCTTGCATTTGTTCCTTTTCAGCAATCTCCATCTGAAGGACCTAGCATTTTGTGAGACTTTGCTAGAGCCATTATTATTTGAGACCATGCAATAGGAAGGGGACAGAGCACACAATTGTGCTGGTGGGGACCAGCAGCGAGACCACACAGAGAGCAGAAAAAGGAAAAGAAAACTCTCTGATGGGGATCTACTCATGGGTGGAACTGGCAGCAAGAGCAGATCCTGCATCAGTGTCAGCCAGCAGCTCTGGGAATCTCCTTAATGAGTTTGGATGTACAGTGGAGTGCCACCTTCCACTCCTGGCCCTGCTGAGTGCCTGGTGATGCTTCAAGCATCCTCACTGCTCCTCACTTCCTTAAGTGGCAGTACAAGTGATACCTGGTATTTGGAAAGTAGTGCTTGAGGGGATAAAGTGCGTTGATAAACTCGTCGTGATATAGTTTCTAATAATTTATTGACCTTCCTTCACAGCAATAGTGGGATGCTTCCAGTGCAGGGCCTTATTCTCAGTGGTGTCACTTGACATAACTCCACTGATTTCATTAACTTATACCCTGATTTCCTTCCCCTCCCCCCCTCTTTTTTTTTTACTCAAATCAATCACCATGATAGACTAGGAAAATTGGTTTTATCATTCTTAGTCTCCAAATTGAATAGCTGCAGCAGCTGGATTAGGCTAATCCTCCTTTCTTGGACTTGCATTGCTGAACAGAACCACCCCTTGCCCCCACCCCTTCCTGCAAATTAGGGGATTAAGCCAAGAGGTGCTTAAGCATAGCATGGATTGATACAAGTGGTTATGCAAATTGTATCCTAGTGAGATTCTTGAAATGAACTTGAATACTGGAATGACATCTTCAGCATGGAGGATACGAAAATAGCAACAGAATCTAAGTCTCAGCTTGAGCAAAAAAGGTGAACTTTGTTTGCCCAGCCACATCAACCAACGACATCCCACAGCCTGTGTGCCCCATTAGCAGGTGGGGATAGATGGCAAACACAAGGCAGCGTGTTGTGCAGTTCACACAGACGTTAAATAAACGATGCCATCGACATGGATACATGGCAGGTGGAACAAAATGGCTGCACCATCTACCACAGGCTACAGGGGAGACTCAGTGTGTGATTAAATAATGAATAAAATATCATCGCAAACGATAACGTTAAACTGTAAATAATTCCATTTGTTTACTCTCTCCTGGCATTGAAGTTCATCTCCCTTGGAGACTTCTTTGACTTTTGATGCTGTTTTGCTTTGCATATGCTTGAATTTATTATTTTTTTTTCTGCTTTCCACAGAACCTTCATAAGGGTTCAGAAAATGACAGAACCAAGTGAATAATTCACAGCAGATAATTCCTTGGCTGCATTTTGCATCTTTATTTCTGCAAAACATCCATCCACATTATGTATGTTTTGTACTAATTTCTAGTTAAGTTAAAGCATGACTTCCCCTCTAGCCACCATCTTCCCATTTTCATGAGCAGGACAATAAAGTCTCATCTGGAAGTAGTTCACTGTTAAAATTAGTGTACTTGTGACTGGAGAAATAGACATCATTCCCTCTTCTTTCTTGGATGGCTGTAGTGTTGCTGCTGGTATAAATACCTCCAAACAACAACAGATGATGTGACTCTCAATATTTAATATATTTTTTATTATTCAGATTTAAACTATTACAGTTTGATCTCTGAAATGCTTCAGAAGGGGAATACAAGGCACTCAGCTGTTTTCCTCAGAAGTAACACATTTGAAAGAAGAAATAATGCAATTATTATTTATGATTCTTGACTTTCACCATCAGAAGTAGTGTTTCTGGAGGCAACATAAAATTACTTAGTTATTCTTTCAGTGGATGAGGTGGGTGGGTGTGTGCACTGTGATTGTAGCTCCAGATTAATATTTACACCTTAAATACTAATCTTCAGATTGGAGTTCAGTGTAAGAGCATGTGGTGAATGTTACAGTGATGCAATGCCAATGCATTTTGTGGGGAAGCATCTCAGCAAACCCTTTTGACTTGCTGCCACTAATGTGCCTTCCCTCCCCTTTCTTCCAGCAAAGGGATAAAAGAGAAATGCCTTCAGATGGGATGATGGGGGCAGAGGGTACTTGGAGCACTGGGACGTGAGGCACTGTGGTCTGGTTAGTGCTACCCCTGCAAGGCCTGATGGAATCTCTTGCTTTGTTTGCTGGATCAGGGTGTTTTTTTGTAACAGAGGCCAGAAGGAAACCTCCAGGAAAGCAAGATCTTTTTTGTAATTTATTTAAGGATCCAATTTATTAAAGGATTGTTTTGAATGATGCGAAAGCAACCCATGCTACCTTATCTACTTGAGAGTGCCAAACAGCAGACACCTCAAATCTGTTGTCCTTTTGGTAAAATTGGGGTATTGGCACATGTGTCAACCTCTGTGAGATCTGCAGGTGGCAAATGCTAAAGTAAAAGGATTGCAATGCAAAAAGTCAGAGCATTTATCTATGCTTGTGAAACTTGCACTATTCCTGGGCATGCATATGATTAAATATCTCTGCCTTAACTGTATAAGAGATCAGAGGTCTCCTTTGGTAGGTGACATCAGAGGACACGTCTTGCTTGAGAAAGCCAATACTTTCCTAAAGACATAAAAAAGAAGGAAAAAAAAGCCCTGGCTGTGATGAAGGGTGATGACAGGGCAAGTCAAAATTCTCTTTTGGCAGACATTCGCATTCACGCTTGCCTGGAAGTTACATCTCTGGGAGTTTTTAAGCGTAGGTGCATTGGGTAGGTGTGATTTCCTCATGGGAATTTTGGGTCAAGCGGGCACCTTAACCTGGGGCACCGTTAGTCATGCCTGGGTGCAAAGGGCAGCAGAGTTCATCCCCAGCAGCTCGGGTGGGGGGCCTTTGCATGCCTGGCTCCAGGGATCTTTGCTAGTGCCATGGGTGATACTTTGGTTCCAAGCCCATAAGGATGAGAGTTGTAAAGGGAATTTGCTCTGCTATGAGTACATAAGCAGGGAGACCTTGATGTCACTGTCAAGATGTGAGGGTGAACGTAGCTTTTTCTTAACCGGTTCATTGCCACATGGGACTTTTTGACTTGCAATTAAACGAACCTCTGAGTTGAGCTGAGCAAAACAGAGTCCATGCTGCATGCTGCTTTCTCACAGCAATGCCTGCCTTAGCTGCTGAGTAACGTGACAGGGAAACCTCATTTCCATGCCAAGTTCTGCCTGCCCCGAGCTGAGCACAGCCCGTCCCTGGCTGTGGCTGTGGCTGCAGCACTCCCTCCTTGCTGCTTTTGTTGCCTTGTTCCCAGCTCTCTGCTCCCTGCTGCTTGCAGGCACGCAGCCCCAGCAGCTCTGCACGAGCTCACCAGCACTCTCCTTTGCAGCATCCCAGGGCTTTTTGCTCAGCCATCTGTGTTAAGGAACAGAAATTAACAGCGTTTGCAGACATATCTCATGCAGTCATCTTTTACAGACATTTCCCAGCTCCTGTTTGGATGGGATTGCTGATGAGAATTCGCATATTTGATGCTCTTTGTACCAAGCATCGTATGGTTAAGCTCTTTCCATGCAAGCTTCTCATGGAGTTCCCTCCCAGGTCCAACTGACCACCCTCCCCAACTTCAGCAATTCTGCTAAAAGTAGGCAGGAATCTGGAAACAAAACCCCCATCTCTTCAATCCCCCCCGCTGTGGCTTAGCCCAATGGCTGGCTGAACCTGGTGCATTTCCTACCAACTTCTCCCTCCAAAAACAGTGAATAACAGTAAGAAAACTGCTGGGGCCTCAGTGCCAGCATCACCACAACTGAACAGCAAAGAATGCAAGTCTTGACATTGACAAACATTTTGTGCTGATTGTTGGAATGGGGATGTGGTGGGATTGGAGCAGGTTGGTCTGGCATTGCTCCTCTTCCCGTTCTCCTAAACCCCAGAAAGGAGTAGACTGGAAGCAACTCAACATGAGAAGGGCAAAAAAGGATATGGTTCAGTCTCATAGCCCATAAGGGTGTCTGGCAGCTTTGTTCACCTTTCATTGTCCACCAGTTAGGGATAACAAAGTGTCTGAAGCAACTGTTGTCAGATGGCTCAGGGCTGGCACCTGGAACCTAACAGGCA